ATATTAAGGAGCAGTCTACTATCATACAATATATACTTTAGAAGTGAACAAAGTTAACTATAACTTAGATCGATTTCAGTTTTTATCTCTTATTTTGATCTCTGTTATTTAAGCATTATTGTAAGTCGATTTTGTGATCATGCTAAATTAACAAAAGCATTTTGGAAAGTCAGAAGCATAGCATGAGTTTTGTCTAGTTTTGATTTGTTTTTTGCATATTGTTTCTTCTAGAACACTCGCATCTACCACTGTCAATTCTGCTTCTGTATGTCACTTTGTCCACAAGACTTGAAGATACCTTAAAGTCTTCAGACTTTAAGAATGTGTTCAGCATTCTTCTTATATTGCTATAAAATAAAATGCTGAAGAAAAAGCTTTAAATAGAGCTTCAACAACATTAACAAAGAGTTGAGTAATACTTGGGCAGTTAAGAAACTGAAATCTTGTGAAAGACTTACTTCAGGCCCATCCTGGTTGGCCTAGGAAAGGCATGGTAAACCAGGATGAACTGAATTTGAATATGTGATTTTTGCCCTTTTCTTTTTTCTTTCTTTCTTCCTTCCTTTTTAATTTAATTTAATTTTATTTTATTTTTTTTGGAGACAGGGTCTCATTCTGTCGCCCAGGCTGGAGTGCAGTGACACAATCTCAGCTCACTGCAACCTCCTCCCAGGCTCAAGCTGTTTTACCTCAACCTCCCAAGTAGCTGGGACTATAGGTATATGCCACCATACTTGACTGTCTTACTTTTTAAGAGATAGGATCTCGCAGTCACCCAGGTTGGAATACAGTGGCATGATCATAGCTCACTGCGGCCTCAAACTGCGTTCAAGTGATCCTCCTGCCTCAGCAGCATGCACCACCATGCCCAGCTAATTTTTTTTGTTTTTTGTTGAGACTGTGGTCTTGCGATTTTGCCCAGGCTGTTCTCAAACTTCTGGCCTCAAGCAATCCTCCTACCTCAGCCTCCCAAAGTTCTGGGATTACAGGCATGAACCACTGCACCCAGCCTGCATTCATTATGTATAGTTATATAAACTTCCCAGAACATGGAACATAATTGGTATTCCTCTGTACACAGACTAATGTGAGTTAAGATATGATTACCATTTTGCTATCTTCCAAAGGAAAATTCCCCAAAACAAACGCATTTAAAAATATCCATTGTTTAGGGAATGCTCATGATAGTTGAAGTCCTGACTGTGTGAAAATGAGTTTAAAACACAATCATGCACTGCATAATGACGTTTGGGTCAACAGCAGACCACACATATGATAGTGCTCCCATAAGATTATAATACCATGTTTTTACTGTACCTTTTCTTTTTAAATATGTTTAAGTACACAGATACCATTGTGTTGTACCTGTCTACTGTATTCAGTACAGTAACATGCTACACAGGTTTGTAGCCTGGGGTAAATGAGCTATATCATATAACCTAGGTGTGTAATAAGCTATACCATCTAGGTTTTTGTAAAATATATTCTATGATGCTCACACAATGATGAAATCACCTAATGACACATTTCTCAGAACGTATCCCCATCATTAAGCAACACATGACTGTAATTGCCAATTGTTCTAATACAAATGAAGACATAATGTTAAAGTGTTGACATAACATGTTCTACACAATGAGAAATCACAGTTTTCATGGGGTCTGGTCTTTCTTACATATAGAGTTTTACATGTATAGTTCTAGTAGCTCTTATATTTTAGAGAAGATTCCAGAACTTTAAAGATTAGAAATCATCATATTTTTATAAAGTTGTATTTGAAAAAAGAAAAAAAAAAACTCCTTTAAGAAGAGCAAGTATTAGCCAAGCGTGGTATCTCACACCTGTAATACCAGCACTTTGGAAGGCTGAGGTGGGTGGATCGTCTGAGCCCAGGAGTTCAAGACTAGCCTGGGCAACATGGCAAAACCCCATCTCTACAAAACAATATAAAAATTAGCTGGGCATGTTGGTGCATGCGTGTAGTCCCAACTACCAGGAGGCTGAGGTGGGAGGATCACTTGAGCCTAGGATGTCAAGGCTTCAGTGAGCCAACATAGCACTACCACACTCCAGCCTGGGCAACAGAATGAAACGCTGTCTCCCCCCTACCTCCCCCCGACAAAAAAAAGAGGAGCAAGTATCTCTTTTAAAATATTTCCGTTGCATAAAGTGAGAATTCCGCTCATTTAATCTTGTCCCCCTAAGGAAACCATTGATAACATTTTGGTACGTCGCAGTTATCTATCCATTTATCTTCATATGTACATTTATATATATATTTTTAACAATGATTTGAACATGTTACCTAGTTTTAATTTGGTTTTGTTTTGGTTGTTATTTGTTGAGATGGTATTCCAAAATTCCTTAACTTTTTAAAACCTTATTTAATAGAGATAAAATTAACTTAATTGAAAGAGAAGAATTATAGGTAAATTGAAGAACTATACTTACTGAATCTTAACGTATAAAAGTATTGGTATCCTTTTTATTGTTCATGTCTAGATGTTGATTTTTATAGCCATGCAGTGGTGTACAGGTGTTTCAGATGTTTCATTTTATGCTGTCCAGTACAGTAGCCACTTGCCACATGTGGCTGTTTAGCACTTGAAGTGTGACTAGTCCAAATTGAGATGTGCTGTAAGTATAAAATACACACTGGATTTCAAAGACTTTATACAAAAGAAACAATGTGAAGTATCTCATTAATAACTCTATATGTTGATTACATGTTAAAATCATAATATTTTAGATAGACTGAATTAAATAAAATATCACATTTAGTTTCACTTGTTTCCTTTTTATTTTCTGTTTGAAATGTGGCTACTAGAACATTTTAAATTATAGATGAAATTTATATTTGTGACCCACTGTTGGACGGTGTTTGTCTAGATCCATCTATATGTCTGTATACTTATGTTTTAGAAACATCACTGTCTTCCCAACAGAAAAGAATAACTTTCAGCCATAACCTCTGATTTTATTTTCTTAACATTTCAAATGCTGTTTTTCAACATCATCTTTTGATTCTTTTTTTTGTTTCCAGTACAGTGGTACTTTAAACTACCTCTCCCTTTGATAGCAGTAAGTCTCCTAGGAATTTAAATATGCCTCAGTGAAAGCAATACTTGAGCCTCATTTATATGTTCAAGTTAGATCATTATTCCTAATAATGGCTTTAAGTGCTTAGATAGATCAGCACTCTGTGTCTTGAATTGCTTGTCATTTCTTCATAAAGATGTTTCAAGTAATTGCTCCATGTGATCCCTTCTTTCATTATTTTATGGCAAAAAGTAACATAATCCTTTATTAGTTTGTTGGAAGTCAGAAAAAAAGGTTCTTTTTTTATTAGCAAAAACAAAATGTATTTCCAGGTACTAAGAATAAAGAACAAAATTAGTCATGAGGGATAGTCCTGCGAAAGTTAATTTTTAAAATACATCATGAATGTACTGTCAGTCTGCCAGTAGCCTTAACCTCTATTTTATTTTCCCATTATACTTGGGTCCAGGTTGTCATCAGCTACCATGAGAAAACCTATGTAATTCCTAGAGAGAGAAAAAGTTGCACTGTTAGACTTAATAGTATGGTAGTCATGGAAGCATCAGTTATCTTCATCAAGGCAATTCAGATTTGATTATTGTAGAACTGTGTTGAATACCAAACCAGTGGAGTAGTAGCTGGAGCTAAATCAAGGGATTGTCATTTTTGTCAGATGATTAGGGCTGGCTTGGAAGAGATATGAAAGGGTTGAGCTGTGTAAATATTCTCTTTTCAGCAGAAAAAGAAAAGGTCCATCATGGCCATTAAATGCGGCTTGTTAGCTTGATGAATTTCAAACTATTTAACCTTAGCAATTATATCCCCCTGCAACTCCCCCGTGCCTGCATGCAAGTGTATCAGTGTCTTGGAATTATGTCTCCAAGGATTGATATCTAAGCATATTGGTAATTTTCTATTGAGATAATATGCAGCTTTTCCATGTCCACATACGTATCTCAAAGGAAGTGCCTGCTTTTGTTCAAAAACCCAATTATTAACTTGAATTATATTCCCAGGTAAACATGAGAACACATTTATTTATAAGGTTTTAAAAACTTTTTATGGTAAATATATGTAATTTAACATTTTAGAGATTATAGTATTCATTTAAATTATGCTGTAAACATGATTAGTTTTTGTAAAACAGAAGTATATTTGTTTAATTTTCACTTGCCTGTGAGGGACTTGATACATTTAAATAATAGATACGTTTAAGTAATAGCAACACATTTAAACAGACACAGTGGACCTAATGATTCAACGACATTTCTGCAATGTTTATAAATAATGCTGCATTCTAGAAAGGGCAGTGTGTTTGCTGCTTTTATGAAAATGTACATCGGTCAATTTGCTTTTGTATTGTAATGGTTATCCTGGTAATATTTGTACTATCTGGCATATTGGCATTTATTAAACTCATAAATAAGGATAGATGACATAGAAATTGCTAACTTTAAAAGAATTGCTGAGTTCTGAAATAACTCATTTTGGAACAAGAAAGTCTCAGTGTGCCATCTAGTGGACACATTTAGCATTCTAGTCATAAAAAACTAATGATTTTCTCTTCCCCGGAAATGCAGTTACCTTGACACCTTGTGTCTTTCGGTCCCTTGGCATAGTTTGTGGTTGTGTTACATCTCATATAGTTTTTAGATTTTATTCTAATTTTATTCATCATATTTTTAGGAAAGTTACATTTGAAAGTTTTATTTTGAAGTCATCAGAAATCCAATGATGAATAAATCTATGTTAACTATGAGAGAGGAAAAAATAATTTTTATGTTTAATCAAAGCTAAGGCATAATTTAATGAAAGCAAAACCCAATCACACTAAATTATTAAACTTTATATTATATGTATTCTTTTCTGAAGGAATATTAAAATAATCATTGCTGTTCTCTTATATGTTAATGGATTAAATCATTTAACTAGCTTTTTAAAAATGTATTTTTTTGTTTTAGAGAAATCCAAGACCAGTGACTTATCAATTCCATCCAAATTTAGATTACTACAAAGCACGAGGAGCCGACCTCATGAATAAAAGCCGGTAAGTCCCCTTTTTCTGGTGATAGTTATAAATCACAAGGGTAGTCTCAGAGATCATCAGGAACTTTTCCACATTGCTGAAAACAATTTTCCAGATTTTAGCGTATCAATGGCTAATGTACATAAGGAATCTTTGTTAAATAAATTACCCAAGTTATTTTAAAGGCATAAGAAAATGCTATATATTGACATCAATGGTAAGATGAAAAATAAATATAAGAGTACTTGTTACAATTTGAAGTTAGGCAACTTCATTTTTCTAACATGAATAAACTTGCATAAATTGTGCCTACTTGTATAATCTCTTTCTAGATTTTTGCTGTTGATTGAAAAGAGGCAGCTTTATAATATATTTTTAAATTATTTCAGTAACAAAATTAAAAATGTGTTTCCCAACTGTCTTTAGAACTACACAATAAGCTTATAAATGCATCTTGTGTGTACGTTTGTGATTGCATACATAGAAATTTTAAGGGTCACTGTAGGAATAAAAAACATTAAAATCCTACTTTTCAAAGAAATTAACATGGCAGAAAGGGTTGATGAACGGTTTTGTTCTTTCATAATACTACATTGAGATGTCTCAAGAGTTAACTTGTCAAACCAGAACCATTTCAAATTAGAATGTAATTTCAAAGTTTACTCTGGAAGACTAAAATGTTAGTAATGATAAATGCTGCCAAGTTGTCCGAATTTTCTTCCTCAAGCATTTTGCCTATGTGTTAGCTTTTCTTCAGTAGAATTCCAACAGCCTAAATATACATTTATGGAATACATATACACAATGTGTTCTGCTGTTACTGGAGAGTTAAAAATAAGTTATAATTCCTGCTGCATAGGAACTCATATTCTAAGGGATAAGAAGAAGTTTACAACAAAATGGCTAAATTTAAACTTGAAATTTGAACCTTGTCTTAGTGTAATGTTGTTATAAAATTAGCCATCTCTGATTGAAATCTGTTTGCCCCATATATTGATGTACTGTGCAATTATGAGACCAGTTCTGTAGCCCATGAGACTTGTCTGAAGCTCTTTTCTGTTTGTTCATTTCATCTGAATCTTGTTACACAAATAAAAATTTATTCGCTATAGTCAGTTGATCATTCAACACAACTGCCAGATTGGTTATTTTAAACACACGAAATGCCCAGTAAAAACCCAGACCAAAATCCCTGCCTTCAGTAATCTTACACCCTAGTCAATTATATCTCTTCCCATTATGTCAAATATTTAGTTTTGTTATGTTTAAAAGAACAAAGTATGTTAGTCTTTTTCTTTATACAAGACCTTTTTAGCTGGAATCCTTTGTCTTCCTCTCCCTCCCAACCCCCACAAGATTATTTTTTACACAACAGCCAAGTAAATGTCAATTTATAACAGGTTATATCATACCTCTACATAAACATCTCCAAAGACTTCCTATTGCCCCTGGCAATCTAGTCTTCTTCCTGAAGCCCTTTCCTATCTCTTTGACCTTATCTCCTTCCACTCTCTCCTCTTCACTCTCATGCTACAGCCACATCAGCCTTCTCTGTTTCTTGCCCTTGCTTAGGACCTTTGCACCTAACTCTTCCCTCCTGCTAGAGCTCTTCTGCCACCCGCATCTTCCCATGCCTCTTCATGATTTAAAGCTCAGCCTAAATGTCATCTCAGAGAGGCCACTCTTAACCTCCTTGCCTGTCTTCACCTCCCCTATTCACTCTATCCCATCATCATGAACTGAAGTTATATAATTCATTTGTGTATTTATAATCTGTCTCCCCAACTTCTCCACTAAAATCTAAGCCCCTGAGGGCAGGTATTTTGTCTTACTCACCACTTCATGGCACCTAGGACAATGATGACTGGTATAGGGAAGGCACTCAACACATATTTGTTATATGAATTTTTTGAAATATTTCCAACACCTTTTTCTCCACCACCGGAAATGTATTGTACCCATTCTTTTCTCCCCTTCTTGATTTTCTTCTCTTTAGCCTTCTCTACCCACATTTTTCTTGCACAAAATGTTGGTTTTGTTTTATATATTTCCTTGTAAACACATTAAGATTCTTGTGCAAAGTATCTCTTGAAGATTAGAAGGAAGACTTTTTGTCATCCTTTTGCAATTGCAAAGCTTAACATTGAAATTGAACTAAATAAAATGTAGTAATTGAAGCAGACGTCACAGCTCAGTAAGTAAGGAAATAGTTAATAGACGGTGCTAGGAAAATTGGCAAATCTTTGAAAAAGTATCAGCCACACACAAAAATAAATTCCAAAGTGCACTGAAACAAGCAAACAAAAAATAAAAATGCAAGTGCCTATCTGACCAATAGTTGCTTGAAGACTTTTAAATCTTATTTTTAAATTTTTTTTTTTTTTTTTTTTTTTTTTTTTGGAGATGGAGTCTTATTCTGTCGCCCAGGCTGGAGTGCAGTGGGGCAATCTCAGCTCACCATAAGCTCCACCTTCTGGGTTCCTGCCATTCTCCTGCCTCAGCCTCCCGAGTAGCTGGGACTACAGGCGCCCGCCACCACGCCCAGCTAATTTTTTGTATTTTTTTAGTAGAGATGGGGTTTCACCGTGTTAGCCAGGATGGTCCCCATCTCCTGACCTCATGATCTGCCTGCCTCGGCCTCCCAAAGTGCTGGGATTGTAGGTGTGAGCCACCGCGCCCGAAATCTTACTTTTAAATTTTTAATTGACAAATAATAGTGTGAAGACTTTTTAACCTTAAAAGTAATGGAGAAAAACACAAAGGAACAACTAATGGATTTTACTATACAACACATATTTTAAAGTAGATAGGTCAAAAATAAAGTGAATCAAAAGACAAATCAAAAATTAGGAAAATATTTGTGGTGGATGTAACTGACAAAATATAATATCATTAATGTATGAAGAATTTAGGCAGTTCAATAAGAAACACAAGATCTGGCCGGGTGCAGAGGCTCACGCCTGTAATCCCAGCACCTTGGGAAGCCGAGGCGGGCAGATCACAAAGTCAGGAGATCGAGACCGTTCTGGCCAACATGGTGAAACCCCGTCTCTACTAAAAATACAAAAAATTAGCCAGGAGTGGTGGCACGTGCCTGTAGTCCCAGCTACTCCGAAGGCTGAGGCAGGAGAAAGGCTTCAATCCAGGAGGCGGAGCTTGCAGTGAGCGGAGATGGCGCCACTGCACTCCAACCTGCGTGACAAAGGGAGACTTCATCTCCAAAAAAGTAACACAAGATCCTATCTCAGTGGCCATTCCATTTCTTGCCATGGTCTGCTGAATCCTCTTCTTCCTCCAGATATTAAAACAGCCCCAACCCCACACTACTTTTCTTCTCTATACTCATTCCTTTGAGGATTTCAACTCAGTTCATGGCCTTACAGACCATCATCTGTGGCTGACGGGTCCTTAATTTATGTCTTCGGTTTTACCCATCCCTTGCTACTTAATAAATATTTTCTCTTGGATGTCCCATATGCAGCTTAAATTTAGTATTTTTCAAACAGAACTGTTGATTCTACTCCCACACTCACATGTCTGTTATGCCCACAGTGTTTCTCACAAATAAATACCAAACTTGTTTCTCTTTGACTCCAACCTTTTTCCTTTCTTGGCCTTAATCTGGAATGAATGTAACAGCTTTTTCTTCTAGTAAATCATCAAACCTAATTGGTAGTCTTGGGAACCCCCCCCCCCCACGGTAAAGACAAAGGGTAGGCAAGATTTCTTATACATGAAACAAAAAGCACTAGAAAAGATAGATAAAATGAACTTAAAATTAAGGTTATTTGTTCATGAAAATATGCCATTAAGAAAAAGAACAGGCAAGTCACATACTTGGGGATAATATTTTTAATACATATATCCCAAATATATAAAGAATTTTTGTATGTCAGGAAAAATATGACTTGGGCAAAATACTTGAACAGCTCTTCACAAAAGAAGATATAAAAATGATCAATATGCTATGAAAAGATGTTCAACATTAGTCATCAGGAAAATGCAAATTAAACCACAATGAGATAACATTTCACACCAACTATAATGGATAAAATAAAATAAAAAATAGTAGCAAATGTTGGCAAGGATGTGGAACAATTTCAAACCAACTATAATGGATAAAATAAAATAAAAAATTGACAGTAGCAAATGTTGGCAAGGATGTGGAGCAATTAGAACCCTTGTATATTCCTGATGTGAGTAGAAAAGGTATAACTACTTTGTAAAATAGTTTGGTAATATCTTATGAAGTTAAACATATATCCTATAATATAGCAGTTTAATTTCTAAGGGTTTATCCGAGGGAAATAAAAACACATATCCAAAAGCCACAACAAACAACATCAAAACAGAATGTTCACAGCAGCCTTATTCATAATACCCCAAAGCTGGAAATAACCCAGTCTCCGTCAACAAGAGACCAGATAAACAATTTGTGGTACACTCAAATAATGGAATACTACTCAGCTATAAAGGAATGAACTAGAGTTGTCCCTGGGGGAATTGGTTCCAGGACCACCTGCATATACCCAAATCCATGCATACTCAAGTCTCATAGTCGGCTCTCTCATATAGAAACCTGCATATATGAAAAGTCAGCCTTCTATATACATGAATTTCACATCCCTGTCTCTGCATTTGGTTGAAAAATATCTGCATGTAAGTGTTCCCGCGCAATTCAAACCTGTGTTGTTCAAGGGTTAAGTATACTGCTATATGCAATAACATACATGCATCTCATAAACATTATGCTGAACAAAAAACACTAGTCAGAGAAGAGTGAATATTGTATTGTTCCATATATATGAAACTCAAGAATGGGCAACTAGCATGTGGTGTTAGAAATCAGAAAGTAGCTACCTCAGGATGAGGGTTTGGAATTGACTCTAAAGGGATACGAAGGAATTTGTGAGTAATAGAAATGTTCTTTCTAGGTGTATTATTTGGGATGGTGGTTATACAGGTATACACAAGTGTCAAAACTCATCAGACTGAACATTTAAGATCTGTATATTATATAT